GCCCGCACCTCTCTCAGCCAGTGAGCGGCCGGTCTGTATGTGGGATCCGAACCCTCGGCGGGAGGGCCGCAGCGCTCCCAAACGGCACACTGTAGCAGTGCGCCACCGGGCCGGTCCTCGGCCCTGTATTTTCTTTCTTATAGTAGGCCATTGGAATTGCTATCAGATCTGGAAGGGAAAGACTTCACTTAGTTAAAGTTGGAAAGTGACTTGATTTTTTTTTTTTTTTAAGAACATGGACTTTTTAAAATGAGAAGACAACTAGAATAATGGAGGCAATTTTTAAAACATTCTTTTAAAACTCTTCTCTGGCTTCCAAGACACCCCACTGCTGTTTTTCCTCCTACACCCCTACCTGCTCACTTTCTCATCTCTTCATGGACTGACTCTTCACATTCTTTTAAAACTCTTCTCTGGCTTCCAAGACACCCCACGGCTGTTTTTCCTCCTACACCCCTACCTGCTCACTTTCTCATCTCTTCATGGACTGACTCTTCTTTACCAGACTCTGGAATGTTCTCCAGGGTTCTGTCTTTGGCTGGCTGTTGTTTTTACTCGTTCTCTAGGCTTTCCTTGGGCTATCATCTCAGATATATACATCTCCATCTGGAAGTCCCACAGACCTCTCACCCTCAGCCTATCTCAAACCCTCTCTGCCTTCCTGCCCATTCCATCTAACATTCCCTTATATTCCTAGCATAGCAAAAGGCATCAGACGTCTAATTTTTCTGGTCAAGCACCTGAGAATTACCCTATACTCTTTCTCTGCCCCACCGTTATAACCCATCAAGCACCAAACTCCTTCAAGTATGCTTCCAAACGTTACTTGAATACCTCAACTTCTCTTCAACCCCATGGCAGAGCTTCTGTCTGGGGTTACTTTTGTTAAAAACACAAACTGGATCAATGCATAAGCTTGCTTAAAATCAGGGTGAGGCAAGTAAGTCCCCTGATGACCCAAGCTGTTCTTCCTTGCTTTTTCAGCCTCAGACTTTATTACCCCTCATTTA